GAAACGCTGTTCTTGGTGGCCTCTGGTCCAGAGGCTTCCAGTTCTAAGGCAACTTCTCCACTTTGATTTCTACTAGTTCCTTCATAGATTTGCACGTTAATGAGATCATCTGCATCGCAGCTGAATTATTCCTCCATTTCAGGAGAGGGCGGGAATCCTGTTAGGGCCACACCCAATCCCACGTCCCCAAGACAAGTGAGTAACTTCTGTGCTTCCCAAGCTGGCCGGCCTGAGGCAGGATGAAAAGCAGTAGAGCGCTGCTTTTGTGCTTTCTCAGTGTTGTAGCCCAAAACCACAGCAGCAGGTACATGGCTTAAGAACATCTATTTCTCTTCAAAACCCCAGTGTCTTTTTTCTCTCCTTGTTACTAGAAGTCCCTAAAAGAAATCTGAATCTCACTGGGTTCATTAACTCTCAAAGCAAACGCAGACGGTAAGAGACTGCAGCACGCGGTTGTCTCAAGCCTTCGTTATATCCCTTTCTGAGAGGCCGAGCAACTGCTCCGAAGGTTTAGACTTCAGAGACTCTTCGGAGGAGGTGCATGGTGCCCTGGCCTCCTCCCCCTCCAGATGCCCAGGCGCCAGGCAGGACGGCAAAAGCCCCAAGGCACGTGCTACTTGAATTAGTGCAGCTAAAACCCAAGCCCAAGTCACACACAAAGAAGGCTGTGCAGCAAGGCGGTGCGTGAGCCTCGGAGGCTGATCCTTCCAGAAGGCCCAAGCCCCCACATCAGAGTCCCCTCTGACCCCCGGCCACCTGTCTAACAATAAAACCCACATGATTGTGTGCTGTTCGCACTGTGTCGTTGGGGGAGTGGAGGAGGAACAGAGTGGTCTGGCCATGTGAAAAGCAAGGCCATTAACATTCATCAATTACCTACTTGCACCAGGCAGCAGAGAAGTGTAGATATCAACATTCCCATTTTACAGATAAGTCACTCAGAACACTAAGGTGATCTGTCAGGTCTCTTTGGGAATAGGGAAAGCAGGGATTTGTACCCAGGCCTGAAGCAACCAATTCTGCTCCTGGAACAATCCCTTGAAGTAACAATGAACACTTTAACTGCTGCCCCTGCCTCCCCACCCCCACCCCAAGAACTAAACTTCCCAAGATGGGCATAAAAGACAATACTCCAAATTACCCAAAACAGAGCAGCAAGAAAGTTGAGGGAGAGGAAGGAATATATATTTGTATATAAATATGCATATATTTACATATCATCTTTCTCTCCCATACTGAGTCACGAACACCGCTATTAATTAATTCTCCATAGAGAGACTGGGAGCATCATTCACCTCAGCTAGAGATATGACTTCTACAGTAGTTACCATTTTAACAATGTCCATTATGATAAAGGATTGGGAAGGTCCCACAGAGAGGATGAAATGGGACCTCTCAACCACCCAATTTCTTTAAGACCCCCATAGCTGAGAAGGGAGACAGGAGACAGGAACACCACCACCTCTGCCATCTCCAGAGTTTTTCAAGGCAATTCCTAAGTTCTGCTCAGTTGAAAACTGCAAGTCCAACTCAGCAGCAGAACTGCAAACTCCCAGCCTCAGGAGGTCAGGCCTTTACAAACTTTGTTGCTGAGTTAGCAGCAATCCCTTGGCGTCCTTGGGGAGGGAGCAAACACAAGCCTAAGTCACCACACAGGCTCCTACCCCACTCCTAGATGGGGGAAACTCCAGAGGGGACACAGGGGTGAGCCTCGCAGCCACAGAGGCCACAACGCAGACTGGGCCAGGAGGGGAGAGGAGCCCGTGGGGCAGGAGGAGTCGGCTATAAACACGCCCCCCGGGACATACACAGCGCAAGCTAAGGAAGAAAGCACCGACAAGACTCCTGCTAAGCTGTTCAAGTCAAGGGCCTAGCTACAACCATAGTGAAAGGTGTGTGGGCTTTTTCATGAGAGAATGAAGCAGAATTTCTCCCTTACAGGGAGAAAGCAAGAGCCAGAAAAACTTGCCACCATCCTAATTCTTATTAGGGATGGTCAGCTACCAGAACGTGCTCAGTTCCACATGGGAGATGACAACCCAAAGCTTCCTCCTCTCCCTGGAAGGAAGGGGCATCAAGTCTCCCAGCAATCAAAAAAGGCCTTGATTTCCCCAAAGGGCCCTTAGGTGGCTGGGAGCTCTGGAAGAGGCTGCCTCCTCTCTCATTTCACGCTGGGAGCTTCAGGGTGGACCTGTTTCCTGGGCTCTCCCCCATCCAACCCCAAAGCCCAAGGCACCACCTCCCACAACAGGGCAACACCCTCAGATGGCGCTGCAAGAACTGGCCATTCTCTGGCCAGACTGGTGTTAACTTTTCTTTTTACTCTTGATATTACACACAACCCCGTCCTTGCTGTACCAGGAAGCCATCTCACCCATCTGTCTGGGAAGATGATCCAATTTGGGTCCCTTTATCATCAATGCTTTCAGCAACTTTGTTCTACTTCCCTACTCTAATTACTTTTGAGTCACCAACACAACCAGCCAGTCTTAAAGCTCCGAGAACAGAATGCTAAAGGAGAAAAAAACTTGCAATGGTAAACAACTTCACTCAAAAACCACCAGAACTAGGACCAATTTGTTTCTTTCTAGAAATTTACTTATTAATAAACTGCCTCACACTCCTTCCCCTTTTCCAAAAGGAGGCAGGACCTAGAGACAGGACACTGCGGAGAGGGGAGAGGGCAAGGAACTCCTAAAGGAGCTAATTAAAACATCTGCTCCTCACCCCCCACTTTTTTTTTTTAAGATGCAGCATTTGTTTAAAGATGCAGGAAAGTTAGCTTGCTGGTTGCTGGATGCCCAGGCAGTGCAGGAAGAAAGTATGTCGTCGCTGGAATGCAATCAAATTACATGGGGGAGAGACAGACCCATGGCTGCTGGCTTGAAAATGCAGATCCTTCAGGAATAAGTTTAAAGGACAAACCACACAAAAAAAGAAAACGAAAACCGAAACTCCAAGAAGATCCAACCAACATCAGCAACGGAACACTGTTAGGAAGCCAGCTGCTTTGCTCTCTGCTGTCATCTATTTTGTTCCGCGCCATGCACCCTGGTGGATGCAACTTCCAGCTCTGATTTGTAAGATGCCCCTTAAGCAGACCAGCTTTCCTTCCCTCCTGGGGTGGTCCCTTCACCCAGAAGGCACCCTCCTGAGCCCCTACAGGAGGAGAGGACCCGAGTGGGGAAGCACAGGGTTGTTCTCCTTTCTCACCAACACTGCCCCCTCTGGAATCCTCCCATACAAATTTCTTCACCTCCTGCTAGTTCTCGGTCCTTTCTTGGGATGAGGATGGGACCAGAGCGTTTAGCGTCAGGAGTGAAGTTATCAACACAGAAAGCCTCCCCCTTCAGCCCTTGGCACAGCTGAGCAGCCGGGGTGACGGTGCAGCCTAGGTCACCACCTGGTTAGTGATGCAGTCAGGAGAGCGGAGAATCAGGTTTTTGAAGGAGTTGGGATCTGGGCAGGCAAGGCTGTACCCCTCCTTAGAGCAGGCTTACTGAATGAAGGGCCAGACACGCTTAAAGCACACACTGCCCCCAGCCCAATTTCTTTGCCCCTAGGGAAGTGGGGGGAGCTCCTTGGGACCGTGAACCCCAAGAATAAGTGATCTGCTGACTAACATTGCCAAACAGGGGGATGTGGGACGACACCAAGGCCCCGCAGCTAGGCCCGCACCAGGCTCTAGGTTTCAGTAAGTTCAACAGCAGCACTGGCCCTTCATGCCCGGTTCTGGGGGGTCGGGGGAAGGGCCGGAACGCTCTGAATCTGGTCCCAAGAGCGTGCTCTCCCCAGCTCAGAGCCCGGTGGCCCCAGTCCGGGAAGTTCTTTAGAAAAATCGACGCTAGTCCTCACTCCCCGCGGAAATTCTTTCCGCTATTTTAGACTCATTCCTCATTCCTCAAGGCCCGAAAGGGAATGTGGGGGAGGGGGAGAGTTTCGGGGCCTCCACCGGGACCAAACTCCGCGAGCGCCCCCCGCGGGCCCCGCCTCGGCCTCCCCCGCGCGTCCCCAAACCCACCCCGGAGAGGGCCCGCGATCCCCTCGGTGTCCACCTGACCCTCGGCAGGCAGGGGCCCCGAGCCGCTGCCCACGGAGAACTCGCACTTTTCCGCTGCGCGATTCAGGAACACGCCGGGTCTGCTGCCATCCGGCGAATTATGTAAC